CTAGTATCTACCATTTATTCTCTCATAAATCTTAACCATAAAAGAAATCTGCATGAAAAGCAAGAATAGAGTAAAACATTATCCAGTGTTACACTATCATGCTACATACATTTTCAACTAAAAAAAGCTAAATGTATGTATAAAATTATTGCTACAATTATTATAGTAGTAATTTAAAACATACATTACCGCACGCGTTCATAAGTTTAATTGCTACTGATAAAATTCGTTAATTTTATCGAGTTTTTCCTTTGAAATGCAAACAAAAGGGTAAAGGGATTTCACTGCTTTCTCTAAAAGTGAAGTGGCTTCGAATAACAATTCAAGGTCATTTCCCTCATAAAATGCGTTAACTAGTTTGAAATGTTCTGAAATATTTTGGGAAATAGGGAAAGCGGACCTCAAAGAAAAGTTCGTTAAATAGAAAATTCACTTCGCTATTTGGAAGTTATTTCACGCATAAATTTTCAAAATGTTCTTGGTTCCTCGAAAAAATTTGCAAAATAGAGAAATTCGGAAAATGGAAGTTCGTTAAATAGAAGTCCGACTGTATATATATATATATATATCAATTCCATAAATCGAGAGAAAATGTAGCAACTCGAACCATATTGCTCACCTAGTATGTTGATAGAAGGGGCTAACATCTCATCTGCTCTAAAGAGGATTATTTTTGACGAAGTACTAACTTTTTAGTTTCCTTATTTGATTGGCAATCAGTTCGCATCAGAATTGCTGAGCACATACTTGAGAGATACTTCGACAGATAGTTAAGGGTTACTGTGTAATTTGTTTATTATTTTATTTTATAACCGTCGTTGAACAGTCGACCCAATTTCAAGTTTACGACTACCAATGTTCAACTCCGTACCATTTTTTTATATCCATCGTTGAACAGCCCACCTAATTTTGGGTTTACGACTACTAATGTTCAATTCCGTAGCCTTGTAATTTTGAACCAATCCAGAAGACAAGGAAACTCCTGGATCAGTACCCCCACAGGTATGATTTGTTATGGGAAAACGGAGTACTTTGTGACTCGACAGATTTAAAGTGCATCAATCACCGTTTACAACAAGGGGAGTCTTTGGCCGGAGGGGATAGAACTCATGACGTCTTGGGCATGAGCCCAGTGCCCTACCAACCAGACTATCCCGGCCTTAACTCCGTAGCCTTGTAATTTTGAGCCCTATCCAGAAGATAAGGGAACTCTTGGATCAAGTCTTGGGAGAAATTAGCATTCGTGGAGGACGTTTTGATGGCACTACCCGCATTTGTGTTGCATGGAGAGGAAAACCACGAGAACTTTCCAAGATTAGCCTGACGGCAAGGGGACTCTAACCCATGATCCGTCTACCACTTAGGATATTTTACGTCGGCACTGTGGTAAGTGCGAGCTGGTGCGAAATTCATATCCACCAACCATTGCTGGCACTCGATTTCGGGACATCTCATTGGGAGGCAGGAGCTCTATCTCTTGCGGATACTGTGTATGCCACAGACTTGATTTTATGGAATTAAGGAATACATTTTGTTATGCCCTAGATACCAGCCTTTACTTTCTGCCACAAATACATGCTTCGGAACTATCCATGCCCTTAAATGAGTAAAATAACGCAATGATTCTAGATAGATCAATGCATTCCGTGAAACGAACGACAAATATAAAATGACAGCTATAATTTGATTAGCACTCTAATCAAAAATCTTATGTTATATAATAGAGTAGTATTTTCTTTTGTAACATTGTAAAATATATTACAAATGAATGAAATGTAATACAAATGAAAATAATATAATACAAATAAAAAAGGGAAATACAAATGAATAGAATATATAATATCAATAAATATTAGAAACCTATTAATCGGTAGTACTGAGAATTACAATTACAAAGAAAATGAAATTACATCGTAATAATCAAAATTAAAAAATATAAAATATTATCAATTGTTCTAATGCTAAAAATTTAATAAACTTGAGTGGATTCATGAATTAAATTGATTTTTGGTCGTCCTACGTAATGCCCCTATTCGCTATCACATTGAACACTACCTTCTAATCGCGATATTGACATGAAGAATAAAACAGGGTTTTAGTGCTATTTTGAATGGTTTTTGAATGATTTATAAAATATTCGAAGTTTAAAGATATTTATTTTCAATGTATATGGAAGTTATCTTCTATTTAAATAGCAAAATCAAAAATTTGAAGTAAATCGGTCGATTAGATCCTTTGAAACAAGAATTTAAAAGATAGCGTAAAATATAGATTTAAGATAAAGCTATTTACGCTATCTCTTAAGTCTGTGCTTCCCAAACTTATGACTTTTGTGTACCCTTTCTAAATTTTTCGTAACGCTGTGTACCACTAATAGAAAAATGAATGTATTTTTCACTGTAAAAAAATTTGCACAAAAGTTGAAAATCACGACTGGCTGTTGACACCACTAATTATTTACTGTTAACTCTGCAAAAATAGCCAATAGAAAAATTCGTAATCGTAAATTTTCATGGCTAGCTTTGCTTTTAAAATTTTCTTTTTTTAAATTTTCGTTTGTTGCAAGATATTTCGCATAAGAACGTGTACCCCCACTAAACTGTTCCTGTACCCTTGGGGGTAAACGCACCACACTATGGGAAACACTGTCTTAAGTAAAGATTTAAGAAACAGTGTAAAATATTGAATAATAAAATTAACATTAAGGGATCCTCCTGCTAAATTATTGAGTCTATATTTTCCAAATGGCGGCTACTCTCCCCCCCCCTATTTTTTTAAGGGTCAAGAATACGAATCCGAAGTAGAAAATGTCATGTTTATTCAGAGAAAATACTTTTTTGTATCTAATTTTAGGACTTAAAATATCGTCCACTTAAAATTAATGATAATATTAAAGGTTAAAACTTCTAACCATTAAGATTAAGTTCTAATGAGTGAAAATCTGATCCTTAGAGCAAAAGTTATTCAGTTTGTTCGCTTTTTTACTTTGAGTACTATATCTACTCATGATATACTTTAAATCCCTCATTGTGATTAAGAAAACTCTCATTCCGTACATAAAGAAAGAAGAGTCTAAAATAAGAGTAAAATATGAAATATGTTTTTTCTGTACTCACCACGATATGCAAAATACGAGCTTTTAATCTCATAAGTCATGACAGTTTTATTAAACTAAAATTTAAAACAACATAAATGCTGTCTATATTTCTTTTAATATAGACATGATATAGACATGATTTTAATATAGACTAATATAGACATGATTTCTTTTAATATGAAATATTAAAACGTGGGGGTTTTTCTGATTTCTCAGTCGAATAATTGGTCGGAACTAAATCCAAACCAAGAAATCTTTCCAATTTAACTGTTCTAGGAATGAAAAAACAATTAATAGATTAATTAAATTAAGTGTTTGCCGTTTCAGAAGGTATTCTAACTTAATAGTTTCCCATCAAACTACAGATTCAGCGCTCATAGATTTTTTTTATAGATAGGATGAATGGAAGCAGGTGCAGTCTGTAATAAAAATCTAACGATTAAAAGGAGATCCTGTTTTATGGTAATAGTTTTGAATTAATGATTAAGAAAATATTTTTGAAAACAATTTGCTTTCAGCACAAAAATTAAAAAAAAAGCAAAATTGAGTTAGTAGATTCTTCAGTGAGTATTTACTTTAAAAGCAGACTACCCAAATATCATTGATTGCATCGTTCATATGACGGTAATCTGGTCACGATTCGGAAGCATATATATTGGGTCTTAAGTCGAAGCAGAAAATCTTATCAGTTTACTTTAAACAGCGCAATATGGATTGGTTTCTTCTACGTTGCTCTATTATCTTTATTGTGCTCAATTGGGCTTACGCGACTACAGATAGAAGTTTTGTCTTTGCTGCAAATAATCCGTTTCACACTTACGAAAGCACGAGATATTTCTCGAGCAAGTTTTTGAGCCACATACGCTCATCCACTGTTTTAGGATCTAAATCAAAAAATGATATTGAAGTTATTGTCAAGGATCTTACGATGGCAGCTTACAATTCATCAAAAGGACATGCAGTGCCTCCTATAAGACAGGAAGCTTTATCAATGGCATTCATTTCATCTCTAGCAGAAGCAATAGTTTATGTTGATGAAACGGGAAATAACGTACATACAAGACTTCAAGCTGTTGAAAATGCTCTAAAATTATCATTCAAAAAAAAATTGGCTGATATGAAGAATGGCTTTATTCACGAGCTTCGAATGATTGTTATGTTGATGAGGAAAAAACCAAAAGGTAAGACAATAGGTAAATCAGACAGCAATTTCAAGAATGAATATGTTAGAGGAGTGGACAGAGATCAGGACGTATTCTCATTTTTTAAAAAAATTGGGACAAATCACTATCGTAGCCCAAGTATTACTAGAGTACACCATCGTGATGGAACAATAACGTACAAAAAAAGATCAAATGATGATTTGATTGGATACCATTCCGAAGGAGACAATAACAATGAAAATCAGAGGAAAAAAATTAAAAAACCTTCTGTAAATCAACAAAAGCCACAAAGTATAGAAAATGTTGGTTCAATAGGGAATTATTTGCCTAAATTACAGAAAAATGAAAACACTATGTTCAACAGACTTTTAACGCGTGGAACACCAGAAAGATATTCTGAAAAAGGTAACACAAATTCCAGAGAGAATATCAATGGTAGTGAAAATACTCATCCAGATAGAACAAGCAAAACACTGGAAAGTCGTTCAGAAGAAAGTAGGAACGAATATTCTAATAAGAATATCGATGGCAGTGGCAATATTCATTCAGATCGAACAAGTAAAACACGAAAAAGCAATTCCGAAAAAGATGATCACACATATTCTAGTGAGAAAATGAATGGCGGAGGCAATATTCAGAAACATAATAAAAAATATAAATACAATATAAATAAACTGCTAACCCCGGAATTTTTAAGAAAAGATTCGATAAAGAAACAAAAGCTAGTTTCAGAAATTTTAAGAACTTTATCTGCTGAAAAAAGGAAAGGAAATAGCAACGAACTTTTCGGTAACTTGAAAAAAAATTCAAATAAAACACATAATAAAGGACCCGAAATAGAAATTGACGAGAACATTGTGATCCTAGTGGATGGAAAAGTGGTAGGCAGTAAAGAAATTATAGATTATTTCAATGATGGAGAATCTATAGAAGAATCTAATGAGCCAGACACAAATCAAAATTTATTAAAAGCGTCATTGTATATGGATTATACACCGGAACAATCGAAATACTCAGACAAAGTCAGCTCATCCACCATTCCGGAAAATTCAATCCACACTATAAGCCGTAAAAAAGTATTATCAACCTCGCATACAATTGCAATAACAACAACCACTCCTAAGATAATAAAAGATAAAATTTCAGACAGATCATCATATACAATTGCAACATTATCAGAAAAAGTCTCAGATTCATCTGAAATAATGCATACAAGGGCTTCGATAAGTTCACAACGTACAGAAAGTTCGCGAAATTCTAATTATTCTGATTCTAACTATGAAGAAAGCAAACAGCAAGGCGAACCATGGAGCAACATCGAAAATACTCGAACTAAGAGAACAGGAAGACGTGAGAATTCCTTCTTCTCAGGAGAAAAATCTACTCTTACCAGCTCTGATGAAAGCACTGAAAATAGTGCCTCAATTAGTAACACAGAAAGTACTCCATCAAATTACGCTAAAAATACTGGATACACTTCCACCTCTAAGGAAAACAATGAACAGGACTCTACCTGGGGCTACCTTGACAGTAATCCAAATGAAAGTACAGGTAGTGGTGACTCGTCCACTTACTCAGAAGAAAATTCTATTCCAAACAGCTCTAATGAAAGCAATGAAAACGGTGCAGAAAATATTGGCCATCCCTCCAACTCTGAGAAAAGCAATGAACAAGACTCTACCTGGGGTGACACCGAAAGTACTCCAAGTGAAGGGACAGGAAGTAGAGACTCGTCCACTTACTCAGAAGAAAATGCTACTCCAACAAGCTCTGATGAAAGCAATGAACCCGGTGTAGAAAATACAGTTTATCCTTCCACCTCTGAAAAAAGCAATGAAAAAGACTCTACCTGGGGCTACACCGACAGTGCTCCAAATGAAAGTACAGGAAGTGGTGACTCGTCCACTTACTCAGAGGAAAATTCTACTCCAACCAGCTCTGATAAAAGCACTGAAAACGGAGCTCCAGTCAGTAACACAGATAGTACTCCATTAAACTATGCTGAAAATACTGGCTATCCTTCCACCTCAGAGGAAAACAATGAACAAGGCTCTACCGGGGGCTACATTGACAGTAACCCAAATGAAAGTACGGGTAGTGGTGACTCGTCCACTTACTCAGAAGAAAATTCTACTCCAACCAGCTCTGATAAAAGCAACGAAAACGGTGCAGAAAATACTGATTTTCCTTCCACCTCAGAGAAAAGCAATGAACAAGACACCACCTGGGGCTACACAGATAGTAGTCCTAATGAAAGTACAGGAAATGGTGAATCGTCCTCTTACTCAGAAGAAAATTCTACTCCAACCAGCTCTGATGAAAGCACTGAAAACGGTGCCCCAATTAGTAACACAGGTAGAACTTCATTAAGCTATGCTGAAAATACTGGTTATATTTCCACCTCAGAGGAAAACAATGAACAAGACTCTACCTGGGGCTACCTTGACAGTAAACCAAGTGAAAGTACAGGTAGTGGCGACTCGTCCATTTACTCAGAAGAAAATTCTACTCACACCAGCTCTAATGAAAGCAAAGAAAACGGAGCAGAAAATACTGGTTATACTTCCTCCTCTGAGACGAGCAATGAACAAGAATCTACCTGGGGCGACACCGATAGTACTCCAAATGAAACTACAGGAAGTGGTGACTCATCCACCCACTCTTTAGAAAATTCCACTCCTACTAGCTCTGATGAAAGCACTGAAAACGTTGTAGAAAATACGGGTTACTCCTCCAACTTTGAGAAAAGCAATGAAAAAGACTTTGCCTGGGGCTACACCGATAGCTCTCCAAATGAAAGTACAGGAAGTGGTGACTCGTCCACTTACTCTGAAGAAAATTCTACTCCTACCAGCTTTGATGAAAGCACTGAAAACGGAGCCCCTATTAGTAACACAGATAGTACTCCATTAAACGATGGTGAAAATACTGGTTATCCTTCCAACTCAGAGGAAAACAATGAACAAGACTCCACATGGGGCTACACCGACAGTTCACCAAATGAAAGTACAGGAAATGGTGAATCGCCCTCTTACTCAGAAGAAAATTCAACTCCAAATAGCTCTAATGAAAGCAAAGAAAACGGTGCAGAAAATACAGGTTATCCTTCTACCAATGAGACGCGCAATGAACAAGAATCTACCTGGGGCGACACCGATAGTACTCCAACTGAAAGTACAGGAAGTGGTGACTTGTCCACCTACTCAGAAGAAAATTTTACTCCAACCAGCTCTAATGAAAGCACTGAAAATGGAGCTCCAGTCAGTAACACAGATAGTACTCCATTAAACTATGCTGAAAATACTAGCTATCCTTCCACCTCAGAGGAAAGCAATGAACAAGGCTCTACCGGGGGCTACATTGACAGTAACCCAAATGAAAGTACGGGTAGTGGTGACTCGTCCACTTACTCAGAAGAAAATTCTACTCACACCAGCTCTAATGAGAGCAAAGAAAACGGTGCTGAAAATACTGGTTATCCTTCCAGCTCTGAGACGAGCAATGAACAAGAATCTACCTGGGCCGACACCGATAGTACTCAAAATAAAACTACAGGAAGTGGTGACTCGTCCACCTACTCAGAAGAAAATTTTACTCAAACCAGTAATGATGAAAGCACTGAAAACGGTGCAGAAAATACTGTTTATCCTTCCACCTCTGAGAAAAGCAATGAAAAAAACTCAACCAGGGGCAACGCCGATAGTACTCCAAATGAAAGAACAGGAACTGGTGAATCGTCCGCTTACTCAGAACTAAATTCTACTCCAACCAGTCCTGATGAAAGCACTGAAAACCGTGCAGAAACTACTGGTTATCCTTCCACCTCTGAGAAGAGCAATGAAAAAGACTCTACTTGGGACTATACCGATAGTACTTCAATTGAAAGTACAGGAAGTGGTGACTCGTCCACTTACTCTGAAGAAAATTCTACTCCTACCAGCTTTGATGAAAGCACTGAAAACGGTGCCCCTATTAGTAACACAGACAGTACTCCATTAAATTATGCAGAAAATACTGGTCATCCTTCCACTTCAGAGGAAAACAATGAACAAGACTCTGCTTTTGGCTACCTTGACAGTAACCCAAATGAAAGTACAGATACTGGTGACTCGTCCACTTACTCAGAACAAAATTCTACTCCTACAAGCTCTGATGAAAGCAATGAACGCGGTGCAGAAAATACTGGCTATCCTTCCGCCTCTGAGAAAAGTAATGAACAAATCTCACTCTGGGGTGACACCGACAGTACTCCAAGTGAAAGTACAGGAAGTGGTGACTCGTCCGTTCACTCAGAAGAAAATTTTACTCCAACAAGCTCTGATGGAAGCAATGAACCCGGTGCTGAAAATACTGGTTATCCTTCCACCTCAAAGGAAAACAATGAACTAGACGCCACCTGGGGCTACCTTGACAGTACTCCAAATGAAAGAACTGATAGTGGTGACTCGTCCACTTACTCACAAGAAACTTCTGCTCCAACCAGCTCTATTGAAAGCAATGAAGGTGGTGCTGAAAATACTGGTCATCCTTCCACCTCTGAGAAAAGCAATGAACAAGACTCTTCCTGGAGAGACAATGATAATACTCCAAGTGAAAGTACAGGAAGTGGTGACTCGTCCGTTTACTCAGAAGAAAATTCTACTCCAACAAGCTCTGATGAAAGCAATGAAACCAGTGCTGAAAATACTGGTTATTCTTCCACCTCAGAGGAAAACAATGAACTAGACGCCACATGGGGCTACCTTGACAGTACTCCAAATGAAAGTACAGATAGTGGTGACTCGTCCACTTACTCAGAAGAAAATTCTGCTCCAACCAGCTCTATTGAAAGCATTGAAAATGGTGCAGAAAAAACTGGTTATCCTTCCACATCTGAGAAAAGAAATGAACAAGACTCTACCTGGGGCGACACTGATAGTACTCCAAATGAAAGTACAGATAGTGGTGACTCGTCCACTTACTCAGATAAAAATTCTACTCCAGCCAGCGCTGATGAAAGCACCGAAAACGGTGGCTCTATTAGTAGCACATATAGTACTCCAGTAAATTATGCTGAAAATATTGGTTATCCATCCTCCTCAGAGGGAAACAATGAACAAGACTCTTCCTGGGGCTACCTTGACAGTAACCCAAATGAAAGTACCGGAAGTGGTGACTCGTCCACTTACTCAGAAGAAAATTCTACTCCTACCAGCTCTGATGAAAGCAACGAAAATGGTGTAGAAAAAACTGGTTATCCTTCCTCCTCTGAGAAAAGCAATGAACAAGATTTTACCTGGGGTGACACCGATTATACTCCAAGTGAAATTACAGGAAGTGGTTACTCGTCGATTTACTCAGAAGAAAATTCTACTCCAACCAGCTCTGATGAAAGCACTGAAAACGGTGCAGAAAATACCGGTTATCCTTCCACCACTGAGAAAAGCAATGAACACGACTCTACCTGGGGCGACACCGATAGTACTTCAAGTGAAGGTACAGGAAGTGGTGACTCGTCCTCTTTCTCAGAACTAAATTCTACTCCAACCAGCCCTGATGAAAGCACTGAAAACGGTGCAGAAACTACTGGTTATCCTTCCACCTCTGAGAAAAGCAATGAAAAAGACTCTACTTGGGACTATACCGATAGTACTTCAATTGAAAGTACAGAAAGTGGTGACTCGTCCACTTACTCTGAAGAAAATTCTACTCCCACCAGCTCTGATGAAGGCACTGAAAACTTTGGCTCCATTAGTAGCGCAGATAATACACCATTAAATTATGCTGATAATACTGGTTATCCTTCCACCTCTGAGGAAAACAATGAACAAGACTCTACCTGGAACTACCTTGACAGTAACCCAAATGAAAGTACAGGTAATGGTGACTCGTCCACTTATTCAGAAGGAACTGTTACTCCAACCAGCTCTGATGAAAGCACTGAAAACGGCGCCCCTATTAGTAACACAGATAGTACTCCATTAAACGATGGTGAAAATACTGGTTATCCTTCCACCTCAGAGGAAAACAATGAACAAGACTCTGCCTGGGGCTACCTCGACAGTAACCCAAATGAAAGTACAGATAGTGGTGACTCGTCCAATTACTCAGAACAAAATTCTACTCCAACAAGCTCGGATGAAAGCAATGAACGCGGTGCAGAAAATACTGGTTATCCTTCCACCTCAGAGGAAAACAATGATCTAGACGCCACCTGGGGCTACCTCGACAGTACTCCAAATGAAAGTACAGATAGTGGTGACTCGTCCACTTACTCAGAACAAAATTCTACTCCAACAAGCTCGGATGAAAGCAATGAACGCGGTGCAGAAAATACTGGTCATCCTTCCACCTCTGTGAAAAGCAATGAACAAGACTCTTCCTGGGGAGACACTGATAGTTCTCCAAGTGAAAGTACAGGAAGTGGTGACTCGTCCACTTACTCAGAAGGAAATGTTACTCCAACCAGCTCTGATGCAAGCGCTGAAAAAGGTGTAGATAATGTTGGTTATCCTTCCAACTCTGAAAAAAGCAATGAACGAGACTCTACCTGGGGTGACACCGATGGTACTAAAAGTGAAAGTACGGAAAGTGGTGACTCGTCCACTTACTCTGAAGAAAATTCTACTCCCACCAGCTCTGATGAAGGCACTGAAAACGGTGGCTCCATTAGTAGCGCAATTAGTACTCCATTAAATTATGCTGAAAATACTGGTTATCCTTCCACCTCTGAGGGAAACAATGAACAAGACTCTACCTGGATCTACCTTGACAGTCATCCAAATGAAAGTACAGGTAGTGGTGACTCGTCCACTTACTCAGAAGAAAATTCTACTCCTATCAGTTCTGGTGAAAGCAATAAATACGGTTTTCCTTTGAGTTACACGAATAGTACTCCAGTTAATAACGCAGGAAGTACCAGTGATACTTTCAAATTCGAAGAAAGCCATGAACATACCTCTCCCTTGGGCAGTGGTGATAGTACTCTGGTGGATACCGAAGCTACTGACTCGTTTCCTAGCAAATCGATGTATTCAGGTTCCTCTTCTGTTAGCCTTTCTAATACCAGCGGAATTTCCTCGTCAACTGGAAGTATGGGATCAAAGTCTTCAGTGAAGGGATCAGTTTCTATTCTGCATAAAACAACAATGCCTTATTTAAGTACTAAACACAAACCAAAAATTGAAATCATTGAAAATATTAATGTTATCATAAACGGCCGAAGAGTGGGTAGTGTCCGCGAAGACAATGATTATTCTCCTGACTCAAAAAGCTTCGAGGGGTCTTTGGAAAAAATTCAAGTTGATTCTCGCTCACTCGAATCCAGTTATCACTCACAGAATTATGGCCCTCGGAGTACTACTTCATCTTCTCAAACAACGAAAACTACATCGGTTCCCTCTCTCAATTCGAAGATAACAACTGTAGACGTGTTTAATATTGGAACTGGTTATAAAGTGTATAATAAAATCTCGAATCTTTACTTAAAAGAAGGGGAACCTTTTAACTTTCCAGTTACGCCAGGAAAAGCATTTAGGTCATATGATCTGAAATTGTCATCGCCTGCCTATACGGGTAATGAAAACCATATCAAGTCATATTTCACGCCATCTACTTCATATAGAAGTCAAAAAAATAAATTACATTACTATAGTTCAGATGAAAATAATAGATCTAAAGATAATTATATGGATGAAATTGATAAATTATTTAAAAGTCTAGGTGAATCTTGGTCAAAAGCAGACACGAGAAGTTTGAAAACGAACAAAATGACGAAGTTTTACCAATCAAACAAAAAGACCCTCGAGCCCAAAATAAAAAAAGGACGTAAGTCAGGTATAACTGCTTTGTCAGAACAAATGACATTAAATGAAGAGGATAATGTTGCGTTGAAGCGGTTAATGCCTGACTGGTCTAAAAACAAGAATATAAGAAACACAAACAAAATACAATTAAAAAAGGAATATTCGGGAAGTTCTGTAAAACGTAAAAACTATGGTGCTTCTTGGAGTTATACAGATAGTATTCCATATGATAATGACAGAAATACCCGTTATCTTTCGGGTGCAGAAAAATATTATTCCCCTTCCCTCTCTGAGGAAATTAATGAACAGCACTCAACATGGAGCAATGATAGAAGTACTCAACATGAGAGTACTGGAAGCGGTGATTTTTCCTCTAACTCAGAGGAAATTTCGATTCCTACCAGCTCTGATGAAAGCAATAAGTATGGATATAGAATGAGTTACACAGGTAATACTCCTTTTAATAATGCAGGAAGTACTAATTATATTTCCGACTCTGAGGACAGCAATGAGCAAGACTTACAATGGGACAATAGTGACAGTGCATCAAAGGAAAATGCAGAAAGTGGGGAAATTCTCTCTAATTCAGAGAGCTATTCTACTCTTACTAGCTCTGATGAAAGCATTAAATACGATGCCTCAATTAGTTTCACAGATAGTGCTTCATTAAATAGTGCAGGAAATACCAGTTATTCCTCCAACTCTGAAGAAAGCATTGGGCAAGACGATTCCTGGAGCTACTCCGACAGTACTTCAAATGAAAATACAGGAAGTGGTGACTCAACCTCTTACTCAGAAGAAAATTCTACTCCAACCAGCTCTAATGAAAGCACTGAACACGGTGCCTCAATTAGTAACACAGATAGTGCTCCATTAAATTATGCTGAAAATATTGGTTATCATTCCATCTCTGAGGAAAACAATGAACAAGACTCTACCTGGGGCTATCTTGACGGTACTCCAAATGAAACTACAGGTAGTGGTGACTCATCTACTTACTCAGAAGAAAATTCTACTCCAACCAGCTTTGATGAAAGCAATGAAAACGGTGCAGAAAATACTGGTTATCCTTCCACCTCTGAGCAAAGCAATGAACAAGAATCTACCTGGAGCTATACCGACAGTACTTCAAATGAAGAGGCAGGAAGTGGTGACTCGACCTCTTATTCAGAAGAAAATTCTACTCCAACCAGCTCTGATGAAGGCAATAAGTATGGTGTCTCTAATAATGACACAGATAGTACTCCATTAAATTATGCAGAAAATACAGGTTATCCTTCAACATCTGAGGAAAGTAATGAACAAGACTATTCCTGGGTTTACACCGACAATACTTCAAATGAAAATACAGGAAGTGGTGACTCGACCTCTTACTTAGAAGAAAATTCTACTCCAACCAGTTCTGATGAAAGCAATGAACGAGACTCTACCTGGGGCTACTCCAAAAATACTCCTAATGAAAGTGCAGGAAATAGTCAGGATGATGCAGGTGTAATCTATTCTGAAGATAATATGGTAATGGCACAAGATCCTGATTGGATTCTTGGAATGTTAAGTACGACTTTGAGTCCATCGGAGTTTGGCTTACCTTCTACAAAGCCAAGGAAACGTTCAGAAGAGTTCTGGGTTTCAAGGGAAGATCACAATTCAAAGTTAATGAATTTCTCTCCACAAAATATTTTTAGTAGGCCAGACAAAATTTCCACTGAGAATAATTATCGTAATACACATATAATTGACATTAACAGGGCTGGTTTTGATGATGAAACAGCTACGTCTGAGGATGACATTGGTGGAATAAATACTAAAATGCCGGATAATATGGTTAGAGACATGCTAATGGCTCCAGCACCAGATAGTTTTCTTCCTAATAGGGAAAAAGTCTCATCTGAAAATTTAGATAAAAATAAATTTTATTTCGGAGATTATAACCAGTATGATTTAACTGTATCTAACACTGAGGGTATACCTTTCATTGATGAAATGAATGCTGAGTATACCCCGAAAAATTATGTTCCTCACAACTCTGAAATTAACCAATATAATGCACCAGTAAACAACATTGGCAGCAGTAATCCTGATGGCAGTAATTTCTTAGATCTATCTTCTTTTAAAAACAAAATTGTGCCGGAAATGTACAATGAAAACTATCCACAAGATTATCTTCCAAATGACTTTTACTATTATCCATATTACAATAATTATCCATTCCCGAAACCATATTATTATCCAGATTACAGAAACTATATACCTAATTATTATGAGAGATATTATTATCCAGACAATGATAAGTATCCTTTCCCTTATTACTACTCAAACGGTGAACCATATAATGAATACTATAATTATAACGCAGAACCATACAATATGATGTGGGAAAATTATGCTAATAATCATAACTCTAAGGACATTGAAAATCCAAAAAGTAAGGATTTTTTAGCTCTTAACCCACTTGGTGATAATGATAATCCGCATAACATAAGTCCAAAAGAAGATCAACAACACATGATATATCCATCGAAAAACACCAATCCTAAGAAAGATGTTCCTAACAAGGTTGATCCATTGGTAAAAATGAGTCAAAAGAACAACAATAGAAACTATGATGTTTTTCCTACTATTGATGACAATAGACCACATGATTTTAATTATTTTCGAAGGCCAAATCCTTTTTTAGGTAGACCTAATTATTTTGATCCACCGAATTACAATTTTTTTACACCTCCACTGAGTGGCAGATTTAAACAAGATTTAAACAAGAATGAAAGAAATCAAAATAATCCTCAATTATTTCATCATTGGTTAAGGAATCCTATGCCTCACGGGCGAAATTTGCCTACGTTCAATAGAGATGGTCAAAAATATTTCAATGATTTAAAAAATTCCGAAAAAATTCCGAACGTTTTTGAATCACCCGATAATGATCCCAAGATGATTGATCCTCACCAATATAATGTTCCTATTTTAACGAAGAATAATTAGATGGAAAAAAATCCATATACAAGGTGTCCTTCTGGTGAGTGAACGGAATAAAATGTTGTAAATCAGTATTACGATCGACGCACTCAAGAATGGTGTTAAAAACGATTGCGTAGCTTTTCGGTTACAAGTTTCAAAGAAAAAAAATTGGAAATTTTGAAATTACATTAACAATTTTTAATCGTATCGTGATCCTTACAGAAAAAGGAATTAGAATGATATTTTTATCACGAGAATTAGCGATTCTAGGTCCTTGCCAGTCAATGCAATTTTTCACGACCATTAACGAGAGAAGAGTGTGATAAAAATATTTAAAAACAAAGAGGAAAATTCAAAGGAAGCATTTTATATTTTACAAATTTTTGACCCTTAATATCCGTATTTTTTACTTTGTGTTTAAAGGTTTTTATACACATACTTTCTTGTTAGTGGTCACAAAAATGGCATCAATTGACAAAAGCCTAGTGTGGTAATTTCTTGTTGTTAAAAAAAAGCACCGACTTCGTTTTATTTATTTTCGTATCGTAAGGATAACGCTTCGATCAAAATGAGTGGGTGTGGCTAGTTGAGAAGTTTGAAATTTTTTAACTGTAATCCTGAGAGCTGCGCGATCGCTTAGAGCATCAATCTTCAGGAATTAGATCATAATACTTGCGTACACAATTTTATTCTGTTCATTCAAGCTGTATACTCTCTAGAGGGTCATATGTTGGCAAAATTAATATTACATAGCCGTATAATAAATATATCAGAAGTAATCACTCTAATTCTGACGATAAAGAACCGAAAAAAGAACAACAATAAAATTTCACCTGATAAATATGATGAATCTGATTTTTCCTCAGAAAATGAACTACCTCCAGAAATGCATGATATTAGCGCTTGGTTTCCTTAAAAAAACAGTGATGACTTACTAAAAACTCAGGAAAATTTTTGAACAATTCAAATGATGTATTTAAAGTAAAGGATTTGGATAAAATTTCCTGAATAATGAAGGAAAAATTCTTATGACCCTGATAGTGCGAATTTCTAATGACCCTAGAAGTGTTACTGTTTGATACAAAGGGTTGGCTTTAATCAGAGTGTTTTTAGTGTCAGGAATGAAATATATAAAATTTTCCAACAATGGACCTGATAAGAACATCATCAATTTCTATAAAAACTTTAGCCCAGAATATTTAGATTAAAAATGTTAAACAATTTTATGCAATATTGTAGATTATATGCTCAGTGAATGTTACAGTATAATTATTAAATTGTTTTTTTTTTTTACTAATATCAATCATTTCTGTATCAATAATAATTGGTATAAAATTATAATTTACAATGCTGAAAAATTTTAATGCATATTTATCAATATATTTTACAAAGATATGTTTTTGTAGAATGTATTATACTATTTCTTAAACAATGTTCAAAAGTGAATAAAATCATTTATATTAAATACATAATAGTTAGTTTTATTAGATTATTATTTTTAAAGTACCATCTCTTAAGGAGTCTAAGGCAGGGCGAAATTCTCACTTTCTTTCCAGTTCATTATTGGCGACCAAGTATTTAAGACTAACGAGTAATTTTCCTTTTTAAAAATTTTAGGTTTTAAATTAACCATTTGGCGCAGATGGATACACACACACACATATTATATATATATATATAATTATCCTGTCGCTTGTAATAACAGGGCTACATCTCTGTTATCATTGGTGTATTCATACTAAGAAAATGCAGTCAAAACCATAATAAGTTATCAAAAGGTTTATTAAAAGATATGCTGGTGGTTATAACA